ACTTCCCAGCCCGCTTCCCACTTCCCAGCCGACTTCCCACCCAACTTCCCACTTCCCAGCTCACTTCCCTGCCCACTTCCCAGCTCACTTCCCAGCCCGCTTCCCACTTCCCAGCCCGCTTCCCACTTCCCAGCCCGCTTCCCAGGCGCGCGGTCTCCCCGGGCAGCTCCGTGCGCGCGCGGGTTTCCCGCGGACAGGGAAGCTCCTTCACCCTCGGCACAAACGCAGCCGCGTGTTCTCTGCCCGCCGTGCAGCTCCTTCTGCCCGGCCCATCCTCTGGGGAGCGGGTCCCTGCAGCACATGCCGGGTTCCAGTTTGCAAGGCTTTGCTCTTTCCACCATCTGGGAGTTTTTCCTCGGCTCTGCCAAGTGTTTGGTTGGTTTTCCTTTTGCAGCTCGAAAGAACAGGTTTGGGAAAAGCAAACCCCAAGTGCTTTAGGTCCCTCCTGTCAGGAGGAATAAAGGGGGGTTGTGTTTTAAATGCTCCTTAGCTTCAAAGTTTGAGGGCTGCCTTGCCTAAGTGATCCGACAGCTTGAAAAAGTGCAGCTCCTTCCATAAATGAAAGGCCAAAGAGATTAATTGCTTTAGAAAAGGGGGGAGGGAAGAGAAGGCTGCTAATCAAAACCAAACTATTTCCTTAGAAAAGGCTTTATGCAGCTATTTAAAATATGTGCTAGTCTAGGAAAAACGGGTAAATGGAAAGTCAGGGTATCTTGATACCACAGGAAAGGGCACTTGCCAAGAATATCTCCAGTGTTCCCTCAATCTGTGTTGCCTCTGATTGTTGTGTTTGCTTTGTGCAGCCCCATCTTCTGCCCTCAGCTCTGTGGGAAGCAGTGCAGCACCTGGTATGGATTGTGGCTCACAGGAGAGGGGAAAATGTGCTTTTCTCTCACTTTTCTTTCTTTCCATTTCCTGGCAGACCACAATTCAGGATGGGGGTGAAGAGGTAGAAGAGGGAGCTGTTTACAGTGTCACCCTGAAAAGAGTGCAGATTCAGCAGGCTGCCAACAAAGGAGCGAGATGGCTCGGGGTAAGTAAAGCTGGTACAGTGACATCCTGGAAGGCTGTTGATGGACTTTGGAGCCAGTAGTTCCAGGGAGCTGAATTCCACACAAATTGTTAAAACTGATTGCTCTGTTTAAAAAAAACAAACACCACAATAACAACCAAAAAAAAAAATCCCTGAAAAACCAAAACAAACCCCCCACAAACTGAAGTTGTCTATGTCATCTGAAATAACTCTCTCCTTGCATGGAGTCTTCCCTTTTTCTTGACATGGAGGAAAGATTTGACCAGCTGTGGCCATGGGTCAGGTGATACTTTGTGGAGAAATAAGGATCTTAGCTTATGGCTTGGGAAGTCGGACATTTAACAGTTAATTCCTACTGGGCTATAGCTCATTTCTGCTGTTAGGAACCTGTCTCAGCTCTCCCAAAACCAATAGTGTGGTGTTTTGACTATTAAAGGTCTCTCCAAAGTTAGCAGAAACTTCCTCAGAACTTCAGTGAATGTAGGTTTGGGTCTTATTTTCATATTGCTTTGTCAGCCAGATGAGAAATTAATTGTCTGCGTTTCTGCAAGACTTACAGCTCTGCAGTGTTTTTCCAAAGTTGCATTTCAAAGCATGAAGGCTTCAGTGGTAAGTAAAATGAGCTTAAATGCACACACACACACACTCAATTTGGCCTGCTGCTGAGTGCCTTCACCTTTGTTAGGCCAAGTTCCCAGCTGATATAAAATGTCCTCACTTGATTGGAATCAGTGCAGCTGTGGCATTTTGAGCCAGATCTCCTGGAGGTGCCTGTAACTTTCATAGGATTTTGTTATGGTTATGTATTTTCTTTGGGATCAAAGGCAATCCTATAAGAACTTGGTTTGATGTATCATCCAGGTGGGTGTTTTAAAGACTTTAAAAAATGTATATGAAGTAATTTTCTAGTAAAGCTCCATGACATAAAGCAGTACAGCAGTGCTGAAACCACAGTCAAGAGAGCTGAGCAAATTTGTCCTGCATGGACACAGCTCTTAAAATCTCTCCTTTCTGTGTTTCCAAGAAGCACATTGAGTTCTAATCGGAACAGATCATTTCAAATCTGCTTCCTTGGAGTATCAGATTTCCCATCTCTGCCTCCTCTTTTTACCAGGAAAAAGAACAGCATTTTTTTGAGCTCCTGTAGCTTTCCCAGCTGGTGGTGTTGTGTGAGAGGTGGAGATAATTTTGCATGTGTCTGTGTCCCAGAAATGCACTTTAGGAAAGCAGGATGTTTTATCTTTTTCAGCTGTGTTGTTCCTTGTATGCAGAAGGACTTTGCCAGGCCTTGGTCATATTCTCCAAGGAAGAGTCATATGTGTTGCTGAGATCATCACCACAGCTGATGGTGCCCATCTTAATGGGAGGACAAGGGACTGCAAGGTCACAGAAGTGACTTGGAGCTTTCTGTGGTCAGGGTTAGTTTTTTCAGGTCAGAAGCAAGCCCCATTTGTGGGGAAGGAAACAAGTGTGTCAGAAGTCTGCACCTGTTCAGGGCATAAATTGGTGACTTCAGCTTCTGGGCTGTCATCTTTCACCAGCAAAAAAAATCTCATGTACAGTATTTTAAAGGATTTTTTCAATGTGTGGGCTGTTTGTTTCCCTTAAGCTCTTCAGAACATAAAATATTTTAAGCTTTTTGTGATCTTGTTTGATTAATGGCTTTACTGTGGTCCTAAAGTCAATAAACAGCCTCTAACCCAGAACATTATTTATGAAAAGCCATCCCTGCCCCCAGCAGTGTTGCCTTGAAAAGCTTAATTGTCTCTTTTATAATTGTCACTAGGTGACTTTTTTTAAAATCTGGAGCTTATAGGGTTTTATGGTGTTAATTTTTCTATATGTTGAAATGCATCAGGCTAAATTAAGGAGCTGTTGGATTTATCAATGTGGGTCTTAATTTTTTTCATGGTGCTCCAGGTCAGGCTTAGGTTGAAGACAAGGTCAACTGAAGAAGGTGGGGACAACCTGTTTGTGCACCAGTGTTGAGTCTTCCTTGTAACCAGTGCAGTAACTCTGTTACTGCTCATACACATGCCTGGCTTTGCTTTTTAAAAAGTGGCTTTTTTTCAGTGTCAGTTTGTGTCCTGTAAAGCAGCTTGACCTTCTCTGAGGCACTGAGCTTCTGCTGGTTTGTTGGTTCCTTGTGGCTTGGGAAACCCAGGTGTTGTGTGTGGCTGTTAAATACTGGGGGGTAGCAGAGCAGGGGGTTAATCAGCTGGTCCCAGGGTGGTAAGTTCTTAGTGGTGCAGCGTTTGTAGTGTGATTTGGAGGCTTTTCAGCTGAAAAGCTTTAGATGGAAAATTATTTGGGGTGTCTGAGAAAAATGCAGCTTTAGCTGAAAATTTCATACAACCTGTGTTGAAAGAAATGTAGAAGGGCTTTTTTATTCGGAGTGTGTTGGGATTTATTACCAATTCCTTTAATTACTGAGAAGTGTGACATCTTGCTTAAATACCTTCTTGGACAGGTACCAGTGAGAGAACAAACCTAGATCTTTTATGTTTCAAGACATCTAAGAAGCTTTCTTAAAATCCTTTGTCCTCACAACCCACCCAGGGTGGGTTGGCCCTATTATGAGAGAATGGTCAGTGGAAAAGCCAATCATAAAATTGCAGCTTAAGTGCTGTAAACATTTGCCTGTTTACACACAGAGATGTCTCTTCTGTTTTAAACTGCTACATACAATTCATAAAAGAAAAAGACACACAGGCTGTGACTTGTGTCCTTAGAAGTCTGTAAGTCCAAGTCTCACTTGTAGTTTGAACAAGTGTGAAACACTTTCTGCAAAGGGTGCAGGAATGATCATCTAAACCAGATCTTTTTAGGAATTAAGTTTTGACAAACAGAGAAAAGCTCTTGTCAGCAGAGAAAGCTGCAGCTAAGAGTTAAAATAAGAGTTGCCAAAACTCAAGCCTTACAAAGCAAATAAATATCTAAAGGTTTGTCAGTCATAGAAGAGCAAGAAAAAATAAGTCTGCTTCACAGAATGAGGTGGGAATGAAAGTTAATCTACATATAACCCAAACCAAAATAAATTCTTGCCTATTTTCTAGAAAAATGACCAAGGTGAGCCTGGATGTTGGTGGTAGTAATGGGACTTTCACATGTCTTTATGTTTTGTCTTTGCCTTAATGTGTACCCACGTTGGACAAGTGGAAGTGTCCAGACAAGAACTACAAAGTAACTGGTGTATGAAATGACAGTCAAGTAGCAGGGAGTTCTAATTAATCTGTCAGGTCAGAAATGACTGGAGAACAGCAGTGGTGGCTGCATTTGGGGTCAGGGAGGATCCAGGGACACAGGAGATATTTGTCTCGTGAAAATAACTGATTTTCTGGGTTTGAGAAGGCTGTGGCTTTAATCTGTTTGAAAGTCCACTCTTGAAATTACTTGAAAAAATGAGTCTCTGGAGACACTGAGTTATTATCAGGTAGGTGAAGAACCTGTTGAAGAGCTGCTGCTGCAGCTCAGGCTGAAAGAGGGACTGTTGGTCTGGAGACAGGTGCCTACTGGGAGGTCTAGATGGGTCAGTCCTGAGACTGAACTGCTGTTGTGTTTTGTCAGGGTGAGTGACATGAAAGCAGAAGCATGGCTGATAAAATCTAGTGGTCTGGCAGAGGAAGAAAACACCTGGAGGATGGAAACATCCTACAGGCTGACAAGATTGCTGTGACAGAAGTGGGGTGAAATTAAGCAAAGGCATTTTTGTGAATGGATTAAAATGATTTCTGCTGTAGGATAATATTTTTGTCCTTGTTCCTTCCAGTTCTGGGTGTATTAGTCAATCCCAGGATACTTGAGCCACCAGTATGATGCAAAGCAGAGAAGGGCAATGTGATGCTTTTAGATGGTTGCCAGCAGAGATAGGAAATGTGAATCCCCTTGTAGAGGGGGGAAAAAGAGAGATGTACAATCCAGATAGAAGTTGTGTGTGCAGAGCTGGTTGTTTGTAAGAGATGAAGACAAGAGGAGAGTCTAAAGAAGACAGACTGCAGGGGGAACACTTGGGAGCAGCTACTTTGTGGTACAACTTCCCTATAGTCTTTTCCAGGCTGGTGAAGAAAATATGTGGCCTGTAAAGCCTTGGTTAGTTCAGGGGAGGCAGTGGTGCTGGTCTCTCCAGATGCTGAGGAGACTGGAATGGGAAGAGGAGGTGGCTGTCAAGTCTTAGATTTGAAGTTGTTCTTCTAGAGGTAGTGAAAGGCCAGGTGGGAGTGAGGAGAACAGTGGGGAGGGAGGAGTGATGGAGAAAGTGCCTGGTTTGTGCAGATGTCTGGGTGTGCACTGGGAAGTGGAACATGGAGAAGTGGATGCAGAAAAGTAGCAATGAGGTGTTAGAAAATGTTGGAGTGGGATTGGAGGAGGGGGAGCAGTGGTGTGAGAGGAGAAGAGCAGATGCAACACTGCAGAAGGTGAGTGGTGAAAGGCTTGGGTGCAGCATGGGCAGATGGACACGAAGATTACCAAGTGAAAAAGCAAACAAGAGGTTTCAAAATGCTGTGAAGTGAGTGTTGTAGGACCCTCCCTGTTATCCAGCTAGACCATTTTTATCTCACCCTTCCAGGGGTTAGGGAGGGGTGGGTGGCCTGTGTCCACCTCTCCAGGAATCTGGGGGAAGCAGAGACTAAAGAATCTTTGAGCCAGGAGGGACTCCCTGATGCTTGCAAATGTTTTTTCCTACCTGAGTCCTTTATCTGGGAGTGAGTGAGGAAGAGCTGGCACTCCCCCTCTGGAGTTTTATATTGGGGTAGGTCCCAGGAAATGCAGCTGGGGATGGGAGTTCCCCCAAGCCTATAGAGACAGTATCTCCACACCTTAAACAATTGTTTTCAAAGCCAGTCCTCAAGCATCAAGTTTCTTGCTCTGCTGATGGATAACACTGCTCTTCCTTTGAATCTTAAATATCCAGATAACAGAGAAATACTATGCTCCCCTGTGGCCTGGGCTGCCTGGTTTAGTGAGCCACTGGGTGTATGTCTAGAGCAGATTTTAGAGAA